CAAGAGAGAAATACAGAGGAAAAATGCTAAAGGATATCATGAGGCTTAAGTGAGTAAAATTCAGATAGTGGCAGTAACAACCTGATTTAAACATAATACATGTATAGTGCTATTATTATTATTAATCACAGGTATAGATTGCTAACAAAGTGATCAAGTTTGTACCTATAAATTTTAGTAAATTGATCATATTGAATTTGAAGCCCTAAGCATACTATCTCATACTATCACGTTCATATCTAAGGCTGGGTAGGTAAAGGACATATGTGTGTGTAGCAGTAGTGGGTAATTTGCCTGTCTTCTGATGGATCAGTTTCTTTCTCTAGGGGATTCACAAACCTGCACAAATTTTCCGGAGAATTGTAAATGTTCTTGTGTTGGATACAGGGAAAAAGACAGCATTATTCCATCCATTCAGATACCCATACGCAATTTCCAGAATAGTTTTCAGTTGACAGAAGGGTTACACAGCACTTCCCTTTGACATTTTCAAGTTCTAAGCTGAGTATATTTTCTTGAAAATGAAGTCGTGTCCCGGCATATGTTTGGATCTATAGTTACCGTAAACTGACTTTCCCTTACTTCTCTGCTGGCTCAGACAGTGAAGAATCTGCCTGCAATGTGGGAGACCTGGGTTTGATCCCTGGATTGGGAAAATACCCTGGAGAAGGGAATGGACCCACTCCAGTATTCTTGCCTGGAGAATTCCTTGGACAGAGGAGCCTGGCAGGCTACAGTCCGTGGGATCGCAGAGAGTCAGATACAATTGAGAGACTTTCACTTTTCATTCCTTACATGGACATTCTGAAAACAGTTTTTGTGTAATGCTTGAGGTGTTGATTTTTCTTGCAGTCTCATTAATTCTCATGTAAATGCCAAATTTTGTTGAGGAAGAAGAAACTATGTTTAATGATGGGAATGTTGGGGCCTGGATATTATTTTTATAAGCAGAATTTTTCTCCGGTTTGGAAAAGGTCACAGCATTTCTGTTTTTTTTTGGGGGGGGGGCGGGNGGGGGGGAGGGGCTACTGTTCCCTTTCCTGAGTTGTAATGAGATGCAATGGATCTATTAGCAAAAATGGCTTTCAGAGGCTGCAGATACAGTAAAATCAAGTCAAAGCAAACAGGATTATCCTAAAGTTACTTTTTTTTTTTTTTAATAAAAGTGGTTATCCCAGTTTCTGACTGGCTTTTGAAATAATGCCAATAGGATGAAAATACAATCAAAGATTTTACTACTTTAAAAAATTTTTGAGAGCCTTTTCAAAAAATATTGGGGCTTCCCAGGTGCTGAGTGGTAAAGAACCACCTGCCCATGCAGGAGACATGAGAGACCCGGGTTCGATCCCTTGATGAGGAAGGTCCTCTGGAGGAGGGCATGGAACCCCACTATAGTGTTCTTGCTGCTGGAGCAATTAGACATTCATAGGCAACAAAACGAAATCAAAACAAAGAAACTTGTGTTACACTTTATACTTCATGTAAAAATTAACTTAAAAATAATCACAGACTTGGTTAAATACAAAATATAAAAATGCAGACTTTTATATTTAAGAGTGAAACTTCAGAACCCAGGACTGGATGAAAAGCTTCTAGACCTGACACCAAAAGCATGATTCCTAAAAGGGAAATTGTGAGAAATAGGATTTCATCAAAATTAAAAATTTTGCACCATATAATATCACTTCTATCTAAAGAATAAACTAGTGAATACAGCAATAACAGCAACAAAACTAGACTCATGGATAGAGAGGACTAACTATTGGTTACCAGGGTGAAGAGAAGAGCGGAGGGGATAAAGAGGTACAAACCACTACGTATAAAGTGCACAGTAAACAGATACATTGTACAGCACGGGGTAGATAGCCAATATTTTATGGTAACTCTAAGTGAAGTATATAACCTTTGAAAATTGTGAACCAGTAAGTTATACACCTGAAACTTATATAATAGTGTCCATCAACTAAACCTCAATAAAACCTTTAATAAAAATTAAAATATTCCACGTGCGTGCTCAGTCACTCAATCATGTCTGACTCTGTGAGACCCCATGGACTGTAGCCTGCCAGGCTCCTCTGTCCGTGGGATTCTCCAGGCAAAAAAAGGCTTTTTTTATTTGCTCTTTATGAGAAAGACGAAAAGCCAAGCTCTGAACAAAGAAAATGTTTGTGCATTATTTACTCAATGTATGGCCTTGTATCTAGAATACAGAAGGAGCTCTTAAAACTCAATCTAATTAGAAAATGGGCATAAGACATTAACATACATTTCATTGCCGAGAACATACAGATGGCAAATAAGCAAATGAAAAGATACACAACATTAATAGCTACTAAGGGAGTGCAAATTAAACCCTCAAGACATCATTATACACCCATCAGAATGGCTAAGATAAAAAATAGTAATGATAACATCAGATGCTGAAAAGAATGCAGAGAAACTGGATCACTGTTTGCTGAAAGGAAAGCAATGTGGCACCACCATGCTGGGAAATAGTTTGTCAGTCTCTCATAAAATTAAACACTTACCATATGACTCAGCAATTGCACTCTAAGGCATATATCCCACAGAAGTGAAAACTTATGTCAACACAAAAATTGCACACAAATATTCATAACAGCCTTCTTCACAATAGCCAAAACTTGGATGCCCTTCTGCTGGTGAATGTTATATAATAAAAGTGACCAATCTACTGATACATAAAACAATTTGAATGGATCTCAAGGAAATTATGCTGAGTGGGGAAAAAAAAAAGTCATTCTCAAAAGGTAACATAGTATATGATTCCATTTATGTAACATTCTTTTTTTTTTTATTATAGTGGTTTTTGTCATACATTGACATGAATCAGCCATGGATTTACATGTATTCCCCATCCCGATCCCCCCTCCCATCTCCCTCTCTACCCATGTAACATTCTTAAAATAACAAAAGAATAGGAAAAACAGATGACTGCTGGGGTTAGAGATGAGGGGGTGAATATGGATAAAAAAGGGTAGAACAGGGAGCTTTGTGATGATGGAATTGTTCTGCGCCTTGACTGTGATGGTGGCTATAAGAATCTGTGCATTTGATAAAATTGCATAGAACTACACACACACACACACACACACACACACACACACACGCTTGGAAGACTGATGAAATCTGAATAAGCTCTATGGATCGTACCAATGTTGTTTGCCTGATTTTGATATTGATCCATTGGCTTCCCAGTTGGCTCAACAGTAAAGAATCCACCTGCCAGTGCAGGAGATGCAAGAGACCCGGGTTCAATCCCTGGGCCAGGAAGATCTCCTGGAGAAGGGAATGGCAACTCACTCCAGTATTCTTGCCTGGAAAATTCCATGGACAGAGGAGCCTGGCGGGCTGTAGCCCATGAGGCCACAAAGGGTTGGACACAACTGAGCACACACACACACACAGTTGTCCTGCAAGGTGCTACTTTGGGAGAAAATAAGCAAAGAACACATAGCACTTCTCTATAAATTGGCAACTTCTTGTGAATCTATAATTATTTCAGAATAAAAAGTTTAGGAGAGCTTGAGTTGTATGTTAAGTAAAAAGTCTGGGTGGTAAAAAAAAAAAAAAAAAAAAAAACATTGTAATAATAATAATTTGTCCTGTCTCCTCCTTCCATCTTCCTGAAAAATTGGTGGGTCTAGATCTCAGAAGTTCCATGCATAAATTAATTCTCATCTTTCTTGTGTCTGTTCTTCCTGTTCTAGGCATTGCCACTATTCATTATGAAATACACAAAAATGCAGTAAAACTTTAAACTTTTCAAAACTGTCTCTTCTAGTAAATGGTTCTTCTTTCACCTCCACTTGTAAATCATTGCCAACATAGTAAAACTTCTTGTGCACTTATATTGTGCCTCTCCTGTTGCAAATGTAAGAATCCCAACTTAAAAGAAAAATGGAAATTTTTTTATTTACTTAACTCCATCAAAGGCTGGACCTGGCTTCAGGCCTAGCTAAATGTCAATATGTATGACAATTTTCATCTCTCTCTCTTCCCCTGCTCTCCACTTCTCATCGCTTTTGTTATTCAGCCTCTCAGTCATGTCTGACTCTTTGAGACTCTGGAGCCTGCAGCATGCCAGGCTTCCCTGTCCTTTTCTATCTCCTGGAGTTTGCTGAAACTCACGTCCATCGAGTTGGTGATGCCATCCAACCATCTCATCCTCTGTTGTCCCCTTCTCCTCCTGTTGCCCTCAGTCTTTCCCAGCATCAGAGTTGTTTCCAATCCGTCAGTTCTTTGCATCAGGTCGCCAAAGTATTGGAGCTACAGCTTCAGCATCAGTCCTTCCAGTGAATATTCAGGGTTGATTTCCTTTAGGGTTGATTGGTTTGATCTCCTTGTTGTCCAAGGGATTCTCAAGAGTCTTCTCCAACATCACAGTTCAAAAGCATCAATTCTTTGGTGCCCAGACTTCTTTATGGTCCAACTGTCACATCCGTACATGACTACTGAAAAAACCATAGCTTGGACTAGATGGACCTTTGTTAGCAAAGTAATGTCTCTGCTTTTTAATACACTAAGTTTGTCATAGCTTTTTTTTCCAAGGAGCAAGCAATTTTCATGGCTGCAGTCACCATTCACAATGATTTTGGAGCCCAAGAAAATGAAGTCTGTTTCACTGTTTCCATTTCACTGTTTCCCCATCTATTTGCCATGAAGTGATGGGACCAGATGCCATGATCTTGGCTTTCTGAATGTTGAGTTTTAAGCTGGCTTTTTCACTCTCCTCTTTCATCTTCATCTAGAGGCTCTTTAGTTCCTCTAGGCTTTCTGCCATTAGTGTGGTGTCATCTGCATATCTGAGGTTATTCATATTTCTCCCGGCAATCTTGATTCCAACTTGTGCTTCATCCAGCCCAACATTTTGCATGATGTACTCATAAGTTAAATAGGCAAGGAGACAATAAATAGCCTTGACGCACTTCTTTCCCAATTTGGAACCAGTTCATTGTTTCATGTCTGGTTCTAACTGTTGCTTCTTGATCTGCATACAGGTTTCTCAGGAGGCAGGTAAGGTGGTCTGGTATTCCCATCTCTTGAAGAATTTTCCAGTTTGTTGTGATCCAGTCAAAGGCTTTAGCATAGTCAATGAAGCAAGAGTAGATGTTTTCTTAGAATTTCCTTCCTTTCTCTATGAGACAGCAACATTTCTCAATTTGATCTCTCGTTCCTCTGCCTTTTCTAAATACAACTTGTACATCTGGAAGTTCTCAGTTCATGTACTGCTAAAGCCTAAGTTGAATGATTTTGAGCATTACCTTGCTAGCATGTGAAATGAGCACAGTTGTGGGGTAGTTTGAACATTCTTTGGCATGGTCCTTCTTTGGGCTTGGAATGAAAACTGAATAGCTTCTCTGCATGTGGTAACCCACATAGTCCTCATATGTCAGACTCACAGAGAAAGACAGCGCCTTTGCCATAGCTCTGAGGCAAAGGCAGGGATAAATCCTTGAATCATGTGAGATTCTTACAGCAAAAGGAGTGGATTTCCAAAGGAAGGGACGTTATGCAGGAAAAAAATTATACACTCCTATTTTACAAATAGGCTTCCCTTGTGGCTCAGCTGGTAAAGAATCGACCTGCAATGGGGGAGACCTGGGTTCGATCCCTGGGTTGGGAAGATCCCCTGGAGAAGGGAAAGGCTACCCACTCCAGTATTCTGGCCTGGAGAATTCCATGGACTGTATAGTCTATGGGGTTGCAAAGAGTCAGACACGGCTGAGCGACTTTCACCTCACATTTTACAATAATCAAAACTGAGTCTCTCAGAGGTCTGTCAGCTAGGCAGCAGTACTCTCTAACTCAGAGCCAGGCTGTCCAGCTCGCTGCTCACGTTCTCACTCCCGAGGTCCTACTGCCCCGAAGAACTCCAGCTCTCCTCGTTAGATAATGCCAGTTTTCAACAGCAATTCTATATTTATTTTTATTTTCTACCATATGTTTATTGACTCTTTTCTTGAGTCTCCCACACTAACTAGGACAGAATAGGAAATACAACCCAGGAAGGGTCTAAGCAATGCCTTCTACAGAGAAAGATCGCTTTCTTACTCTGATGTTGTTATAAGGGATATCACCATTTATACCACATCAAGTGTTGGTAGTTAAACCATTGAACATATGGATGTTGTGATGAGAATATCAGGGTTGATTTGCCTGGGAACACACCGGGTTAAGGCAATGATTGCCCTAATTTTGTTTGGCCTAATTTTCAGTTTTTTCTAAACTTATCTTGTCTACTTCTGCCTTTTCCTTTTAAGCTGTTTAAAAGCTCAAATTTGGGCTGAAATTCAAGATTGAAAGTAGCTTACATATCTAATGAGTGAAAACATTGAAAAAAGGACCTGTGATATATTTTTGAGGAAAAGGGTATTTGATCACCTCACAGATGAACAAGGAGAATAAACTACTCAACACTGACTTATTTTATTCAGCTTTGCCATGATGTGATTCATAAACACGTCAAGAAAATCTAATAGATCTTTCATTAGTATGTATTAATATTTTAATTGCAATTTAAGGAGCAAAGGCCAATTCTGCCTTCCACTGGAATTTTTTTTTAACATCATGTTTCAAATTAGCAATAATGTTGATGTCTTTCTCTAATGGCTTTCCCCTTGGAACATCTATCAGGTGAAAATCTAGCCTTGTGGGTATCAATGTAACTGCAAAAAGTTATTGACTTTTTGCTTTTTAAAAAATTCTCTTATAACTTTTCTCAAAAGGACTTTAAAGGCTCTCTGAGAAAAATCTATGCTGCTTTCAGGCTGTGTGTCAACCTTCTCTGGCCTGTACTAAGAGAATTCACTGACAGTGTCTCCACCCACATCCTCCTAAATGTAGGAGATAGAAGATATGAAATCGAGCTGCTTTTGCAAAGACATTAGCAAGAATGTCTCTTGGACACACAAAGCTATTATCCACCACTAGTCTCCATCACAGTCACTATGTACACTGGGATGAACCTGAAAAACAACCTTGGGTGAAAGGACTTTTATTAATGTTGCCCATTATTTCTGTAAACTGTTTAAAATAAATCTTATCAAGTAACTTGAGAGAATAAGAAAAGTTTCCCTCCCCTGTAAAGGGTCATGTTGTATTTCTTAAATTTTATGAGCTGCTACATCTTTATCAGGGCAAAGTTAATAATCCTACAACAGGAAGTCTTAAGACATGTGGATGTATTTGATCTGTCGTCCTCCATATCTCATGTTCATCATTCTTCTGTTATCTTTCAGAAGCATGTTTCTTCTGGGTTGCTTTCTCAATACAGTGTTGTTCATTGAAAAGTCGCTGTGAATCAGGAGACTTTCCTGAAAGCAGAGAGGTTGATAACTACCTAGTTTGAAGACATAGGTGGGAAAAAGAATAGTTGGCATCACTGGAGTTACCATAAAATCTATGACATATTATTGTTCAAAGCAAAGGCAAATGCAGTTGTAAACTGGAAGTTTCATCCAGATACCAAAGATGTTTGTAGAAAAAGCTGAAAAGTATCCTTGTCACTAAGTAATAGATACTCATCTTCAGAAGCAAATAGACCCCCAATCATTTGGTCTGTTTTCCTGCAGTCACCACAAATGACTACTCCCTTTGAACCCGAGCTCTGTAGCTCCACAATTGGCTTCTCCCCAGAATTCTACTTAAGAGACCATAGGCTGAACTGAGTCCTTGAAGTATTAATAGCTTGCTTTTCATACAGACCATTTTAAAAGTCTTTATTGAACTTGTTATAATATCGCTTATGATTTATGTTTTGGTGTTTTGGCCTCAAGGCATGCAAGATCTTAGGTCCCCAGCCAGGGATGGAATCAGCACCGCCTGTGTTGGAAGGCGAAGTCCTAACCACTGGACCTCCAGGGAAGTTCCTGGAGTAGTTTGCTTTTAACTACTATAACCTCAGCAGAACTTTACTTTTCAGATTAGATACCCTTAAGCAAAAACTTTTGTTTAAATTTCAAATTTGGAATCAGGGTGGTATTTCTAAATAGATCATCCTGCATGCACATAAGAAATAAGTAACAGAAAATTGGGAAGATGCATGACAGGGTGCAGGTGGTCTTAGAAGAGATAAAACAGGATACAGAATTTTTAATATTTTGTTAGTCTATAAATCTTACAGCAGACACTGGCTTAATAAATACTTGCTGAATGAATGAGTGGGTATCCTGCTAATCACTGAGAACAGGTCATCATTATTTCACAAATAGTATCCACTTGCCATTATTTATATAATGATGCTATTCATAGTTAACAGTTATATTAAAGTGACCATAAAGATCAGCATTCTCCACCTGGGTTTTATGAAGTATTTTCTGCCCTGAAAGGAGTAATAGTTAGTGACTATAGCTTGGTCATTGATACAGACGTGTCTTAGGTGAACGGCTGCACAAAGTTTGAGGGGGGGGGGTGTGTCATAGTTATCAAAAACATCCAGGTATTAAATAGCAAATTTTGGATATTTCATGCCAAAAATAGACAAATATTTCTTTTGCTAAATTGAAAAGACTGCCACCAACATTGTTTCTGACCTGGACTTCTTTCTTCTTTTAAAAAAAAATTTTTTTAGATGTAATTAACATACCATAAAATGCACCCTTTTAAAGTATAAATTCAATGATTTTTAGTATATTCACATCTCCACTGTCTTATCCCAGAACAGTGTCTTTTTCCACTTGGCATAATCTTCTCAGGGCTCATTCATATTGTAGCACACTTCAGTATTCCATCCAGTTTTCTGGCTCTGGTGTGGATTTCTACAGTGTTCTCCCTGCCTCTGCAGGGGTCCTGTTCGCCACGAAAGCCAGGATGATGCTCTTCAAATGTAAATCAAATCACCTCACTCCTCTACTTAGAATCCTCTAAAGGCTTTCTGTTTTACTTAGAGAACAATTTGAAGCCCTTCTCATGGTCTCCAAAACCCTTCACTGATCAGGACCCTACCTTGCCTACTTCAGATATCAGCCCCCCATTCTGCACTGACTCTGTAACAGTTCTGTATCAGTTCCATTGGCTTCCTTCTGCTCCTGGGTCATTTCAGGCTTGGGCTTTTCTTTCAGTTTCTGCCTCAGGGCCTTTGCATGTGACGGTCCCTTTGCCTGGAACTCTTTTTTTCACAGATCGTTCCATGACTGGTTTCTTATCTATCAGGCCTCCCATATCATCCCCTCATGTGGCTACCCTAGATGGTCCTGTGTCAAGAGTCTTTTTCCCAGCTCCCCGTCACCGTCTATCGTATCATTACTCTGTTTTAATTTCTCTATAGCATTCACTAACATCTGAAATTGTTTCATTTATTTACTTGCTTATTATCTGCCTCTCCTTGAAAGCCTGTAACTCCATGAAGGCAAAGACTTTAACTTAGTTACCGCTGTATCCCAAGCTTCTAAAATGGAGCCTAGAAGGTGCTCAATTAATATTTGAAGGAATGCATGGCTATCTTGCCTAGAACTCCTAAATCTCCCAGATCGTGCCCCTTCTCTCAGCTCCTAAAGCTGGATCTCTCTGCCAGCTCCTGCCTGCTTGAGTGTCCATCTGGTGTTGGCTCTCCCATTCTCTTGACATTCAGCCATCCTCCCCTCCCTAATGCTCTCCATGATGACTTCTCTAGATGCCCCAGTCATGAGCTAGCAGTCTTAGTAATTAGTAGGACCGTCATCTAATCGAGCCTTCATTCTTATAGATTATAAACAAAAAGCAAAATCCAGTTGCCAATTTACAAGAGAGAAACAGGTGAGAGGAATCAGCATGGAACCAAGAATCAAACTTTTAGTCTTGAACGGAGTAAGGAGGAATGCTTTAGATGCTGCACTATACCTGGTGGTATATACTGATGTATAAGCTCAATCTAAATACAGATTGGAATGTTAAGAAAATTGTTAAGCCTCTACTGTAGAGATCTGGAATCTAGCTTCTTTGGAATATTTGGACAAAAGGGGACCTTGGGAATCACCTTTTCTCCATTTAGTCATTTGTGGAATGCCCCCCACCCCCCGCCCCGTACCTTTGCTCTT